TGTGTGTTTGAGTGTGTGTGTCTGTGTCTGTGTGTGTGTGTGTGTGTGTGTATGTGTGTGCGTATTTTGAAATAAAATGTATATTAAAATTAAATCAATACTGCAAAGTGGCTCTGAATTGTTATCTTTCACTCCCTCTCTCTGTCTAATGAAACTGCAAGTTTTCTTTATTTGCATGATAAATGTATCATAAATAGGTTGATTAGGCAGATTTACATTGTAAAAATGTAAGGAAATGTAGCGTAAGCATAAAGACAAAGAGCAGCTTTCACATACTGCAAAGAAAGAAAAACAAATTACTACAAAACAAAAATAATAAATGTGATATAGTGAATGTAATGGCTCTGACAAAGAAAACTGTGGAAAAAGGACTGACTGCACAGTATTAAGTAGAAATACCTAAAATTACTCCACAAGTAAAAGTCTTGTATTTAAAACCTTACTTAAGTGAAACTGAAGAAGAACTACCACAAAAATGTTTGTTAAAGTCTCAAAAGTGAAGTACAGAAGTACAGAAAGGGCCCTTTCAGAGTGTCGCAGTATTAGAGTATTACTTGCTGGTTGAGAATGACTGTAACAATATCACACTTTATAAGATGACAGTATAGTTTGTATATAAAATATTGTTCAGTGTTTCGTCTCCACTTTAAAGTAATTTGTAACCACTGTTTTAAAATAAATGTGGAGGGGATAAGAGTAGTACAATAAAAAGTAAATTACAATATTTCCCTGTAAAACCTGAAGCTGAAAATGGAAACAATCAAGTAAAGCACCAGTGCCAGTCTCTTTGTGTGTGTATTTTCATTTTCTTTTATTATTCAGACCGCCTATAATTATGCTTGGCTTTGGCTTCGTCGCAAATATTTTGTCTATTGAGTAGAGAAAACAATAAACCCCTCAGTGCTGAAGGATTGTGTCTTAATTGCTGCAGGCTTTCTGCGCCTCTCTAAAGATGCTTCATGTTTTCAGATTGATCACCACAAACAACAGAGGGAGCCAGCAGTCCTCTATTCATTTACCCATCTCCACTGATAGAATAAAAGCAATTTGCTGGGAACCTAATCTACATGACTGCGGGTCACAGAGCTAAACTGCGCACAGCTCATTTATAAACGCCACACACTGCACCTGCGCAGTAATGCTGCGCAGCACCAGCGCTCCTCGGCACTCTCCTCTGTCGCGGACGTTACGTCATCAATGTTGGCGGTATTTTGAAAAAGGAGTGTCTGTTGTTGTGACCGTCGTGGAGGAAAGACTGTGAAAAACACGGATTATGGTGAGACTGCACGTCCTTTGACTGACTCTTGTGGTGCAGATATGTGCGCAGTGATGCAGAGTTCAATGTGTTCATGTCCATTACAGACAATATCGAGCTAGCTATCGTTAGCTAACTTAACTAGCTCATGTAAACTTCTCCG